CCCCAGCACTGGTAGTAGGCTGATCGGCCTGTAGGATCTGGGTTCGTTCTTCGGGCGCTTCTCCTTGTGAATGAACACGAGGCGCGCCCACTTCCACTGCACTGGGAAGTGACCCAGGAGTAGGCACTTCTGATACAGTACACGGAGCAGGTTAGGACGTTCTTCTTGTAGAACTTGTACCATTTCGGCCGTGATCCCATCAACGCCAGGTGTCTTCCTCTTCCTCAGATTGCCCACAACGTGAGCAACTTCAGATTCAGACACCGGCACGGGTAACTCGGCCTCAAGAACAGGCAACTCCGCATCGCTGCGAAGCCGCCGTTGCTCTTCAGTGTCCTCAGACCGCTCATCACACGGAAAGTGCGATTGGAGCAGTACCTTAATCGACTCCTCCTGTGTGGAGGTTAGGGTTCCATCCGGTTTTTTGATGGACCCCAAGACCGTCCTACGCTTTAGCTTTCCCGCAACTAGCCTGTAAGGTAGGCCAAACGGATTTTCGTCGCTGATCTGCTGACAGAAACTGAGCCATGAGGTTCTCTTTGCATCGTTCAATTTGTACTTGTACTTGGCATTGGCCCTCTGGAACTCCAGTTTCCTGGTCGTCCGAAGGTCATCGTCTCTGCATCGTTGGAAGCGTCGGCGGAGCGCCCTCACACGCTTCCGTAGGACACTCAGTTCCTGGGTCCACCAGGGAACTGACCGGTGGTTGCTGGGCCTCCGTAGCGCGAGCGTGCAGTCTCCTGCTTCTCTGATCGCTTTGGTGAGGTTTGCCACAGCTTCCTCCAGATCCTCGACACTCTCAACCTTAGAGACTTTGGTGGCGATGTCGACTGTCTTTTCAATGAGGCATTTGCTAAAGCGATCGCGGTTTCCAGCAGTTAGTTTGTAGCTATTGTCCCGCCTATCCGGCGGGCCACTCATCACCTCGAAGGCGATAAAGCGGTGGTCACTACAACTTTCTGCATCGATCGTCTCCCATTGCGAGGTGAGTCTCAGCATAGCGCCACTAACGAGAGTCAGATCAATCCAGCTCTCGCCCGATGGAGAGGAGAAGGTAGCAATTCCGAACGGATCGTTCAGAACATGCAGCCCCAACCCTCCGCTGTGTTCTTCATCATGTTCCCGTCAGGATCATCAACTGGCGAGCCCCACAGCGAGTATTTGGCGTTGAAATCGCCACCCAAAACAACCCGACTGTGGGCCGAGACAACCCCTTCGAGTTCAGTCAGAAGACAACTCAGATTGAGCGACGGCGGGCGATAACTGGAAACGACGGTCCAAGCACATGAAGGTGTCCGTATTTCTACGGCCACCACGAGATGAGAAACGTGGACAGCATAAGCATCAACGTCCCTGCGTGTGAGAATAACAGCAGTTCGACAATCGTCACCTTCTTGGGCGAAAACGCTCCATTGAAGTGAGAGACCACCAACCTTTCCTTGTACTAGGTACGGCTCTTGGAGCAGGATGATATCGATCTCCCGCTCGACTACTTCTACCCGTAGTTGGGCAGTTGCAGCCCGACACTTTTCAGCATTAAACTGCAGTATACTGCAGCTCGCATTCTCGTCATCCCGCATATAAGTAGTATTGTTGTCGGACTCGAATGATAGGAATTGCCGATCTAAGGACCGTAATCGGTCCTGGCCCGAACTCGTTCTAGTTACCGTGCATAGCACGGACAGCTAACACTCATGGCAGAGTGACCCGTACCCAGCTGTAGGCCAAATTTTTTATTTGCCTCAGTGCAGTTGACGCACCGAGACTCAGATGCCTTACACTCTTTATAAGAGTGACCATGGGCACATTTGCTACATCGTTGGGCTGCCGCCTTACAGCCCCGTGCAATATGCCCGAAGGCATAGCACTTGTAGCACCGAGTACAGCTCAGGTGTTCCCTTACTCGGTTGCGGGTCCACCCCACATGGAGTCTCCCCTTCTGCAGGAGAGCGTGGAAGACCGGTAGAGAGGCCTCCAACACCCAGTTGGTAAGCCCTCCTCTTCCCTTAAGTGGGAAGCAAGGCTGCAGTTCACCAGGCTGCAGCCTGAGTTCATTCTGAACTCCGATGGTCTCCGCAAGACCGTCGCGTGTGACGTCCGGGTCAACGTCGAACAGGATAACCCTCGGTCGGCGCTTCAAGGGCAGTCGACAGTTGACCGCCTCCCTGAGCACCTTGGGGCCCACTGTTAATTCATGTTGCAACCGCTCGACGTCCTGGTGCCTTGCAACCTCTACCAGGACGCCGTTATTGCGTACTCTCCGCACGTTTTTAATCCCGATGCCTAGTTTGGCGGGGTTAACGTGGGATTTCAGCAGTGACTTTGTACTGTCACTTGTCATTTGATCACTCGTAGGGAAGACCAGGAGCGTGTGCTCCTTGGTAGGAACCCTACGTGGCTTGGCAGCTTCCCGAGGACCCCCTTGGATTTTTGGTGGGGCCGGACGGGCAGCAACAGTGGCATACATGACACCACCGGCTGTGCTTGCCTTGCCTTCCTTTTTGTTGCCTGGAAGCGTAGCGGGTGGCAACGAATTGTCTCCCTTGACCTCTTGCAAGGTCGTAAGTTTTGCCTGGAGAGAGGCAATCTCGATCTCCTGGGCGTTAACGATGCTGGTTATTTTGCTGAACAGGTGGTAAATGACAGCACACGTGGCCTTCTGACACGTACTGTCAGTTCGCACGAGGAGCTTTGTCAGCTCATCGTGCACGCCATCGAGTGCCTTACGCCTGCTTTCGACCGTTTCAAGCTTTTCCCGTGTTTCCACGGGCGCCGACAACGGTGTTTCAGCTTTGGTGGCCGGACTTATTTTCCCGGCCACCGCTGCAGTAGGGTCCTTCTTCTTGGCTTTCACCTTGGACCCGCCTTTGCTTTTGGAGGAGGGTTTCCCCTTCTCCACGGTCACCGCAGCTTTAGTGGTTTCGTCTTTGGGCTTATCACCCTCAGACTCTGCCGCCTTGGCCTTGGCCGCCTTTGCCCGTTTTTGTCTTCTCCTGGCTTTGGAGTTACCAGGAGCGGGCCTCCACTCGCTCTCCCCACCTGAGGAGGCGGAGTCAAATATATTTCCAGAACCTGAGCTAGTCGAATCCGAATCGGAATCGCTGCTCACTATGTTTGCCCATCACACGTAGGCTCGTGTGGTTGATCATCAGCGGGCCTGCGCGAGCGCAGGGTCCGCCTCTCTTGCTGTTGGGCGGTAGCCTTTTCGCCTCCTTCCACACACACTCCCTCACCATCTACATTAGCACAATCGCCAGAGACCGCAGGTACGACATCCGCACAAGTAGCACCCTTAAAGTATTCGCTAGTACTTTTATCTTTGGCCATCATAAAATATATAAAGTAAGAGGGAATTAGGGTAGTCCCGCCCTTTCACGGGTGCCCTGAATCCGTTTGGGAATCAAAGTATGCGTTTAAGAGCCAGCTCTGGCTTCGGTCTTACTGAGGGCTCATTTTGGCCTTCTTATTGCCGGGCCGTCACTGCTTGGCCCGCTGCCGGGACAGCTACCCATTTAAATGGTTTCCTACCCAAGGTCACCCCAGCCCGGCTGGTTGCTCGGTTTGGGCCGCTCTTCCCGTTTCCAGTCCTCTGAGACTATGTACGGCCATCCAACACATCGTCAGGACTATAAGCACCGCTCCCCCCCAAGGACATAAGGAAGGTGGCCCTATGCCCGAGGAGCGGCTCTGCCGACTGCCCGTCAGGATAGATACCAGCTAGCAGAGTCCTACAATCCACTGTAGGCGATACCCCCCCGGCCACCAATGAGGCTTCGGCTACGGGAGTGCTACTCCTCGCCCCACTGGCTTCGACATGCAGATCGTGGCCCCCAAGCCAGCACCGGGTCTTCTTTCACCGGACAGAAGGAGCTTTACGTGGTTTGCGTTACCACGGGCAAAGGCTAAGTCGACTGCATTCGACCGTCTTTAGAGTGAAACATCGGCCCCGTGCCACCGGGTGGATGCAGGAGTTCACTTTGTGTGCCTCAGATACTGGGGGGTAAGGATTGTCAGATCCATGGCCCCCAGTTTCTGTACTGACGCGGGATTTGAATCCAGAGGTTTCGGCGTCCACTGTGTGCTCCTATGTGTTAAACAGGGACATAGCCTATCAGCCCGAAGTACAATGTACATCACGCTACAAGCTGACAATTTGACCGTCGCGAGTAGGGGGACTCGGGACCATTTGCCAAGGCAAAGAATCCCTACCACGTTTCGGCAGCGCCCCTATCGTGTGCCATCACACCGCAGGCCAACAGGTGCCTACGCTTCCGTCGGCAAGACTACCAACTTCCGTCAGCGAGAACGCCAACTTCCGTTAGACAAGTCCAATCGGCTACACTCCGTATATCTTGTCCGAAGACAAGTCCTCCCTAAGAACCGTATTAGCGACGGCTACAGCGACCATCCCCCAGCTCCGGACTTACTGAGGGCTCATTTTGGCCCTCTTATAGCCGATACTATTAGGAATAGCCCCGCGCCTCGATCGCACCAGTCTCCCTTCTGCTTAGATGTGAGTCTGCATGCCACAATGCCAATAAGCAGCTCTTGTAGCCATCTGTTCCGGCGAGGATAGGTTCCAGATTAGGGAGAGATTGAAACCCCGCCGGAGTCGCCCCTCACCATAAGGCGACAGACAGACAGCAAGCATTTTAAAGGCTTGGTACACAGACCCAAAGCCTATGTTGTAATTACGCCTCTGGAACCTTCGGCTCGAGTCATAAGACTCCATCAACGATCGAGACCAAGACGAGTCTTTCGGGACCCATTACCCGTCGTCTCTCACCGCCGGGCCCCCCCGCCACGACCAGGCTCGGTTCCCTACCTGGGGGGGTGTGATAGTAGTGTGGGAAAACTTGTTGTGGCTTTTTGCAAGCCTTGTGAAGGCGAGGTAAATATCCTTACTGACCAATAGGTCAGAGAGGTTGCAAGGCCAGTCAATGTTCTTCTCATTTAGCAGTAGCCTGATGTTCAGTCAATCATGTTCCAGGGTAGGGCAATCAAAAATGTAGTGCAAAGTGCCGTCCTTTTTTGACAAGTAGGGCAGAGATGAGAGTCCCTGTTGGTAAACCTGGAAAGGTAGCTTGCAAACTTCCCATGATTAGTGAGGAGTTGGGTAGAATAGTAGTTAGGGATGAACCAGTAAAGGGTGAAAAGTGTTTGAGATCTGGGATGAACTGAAAGGTAATACTGTTGTTATTGTTAATCCATAAAGTTTGCCACTGCTGCAAAGTTTCCTCCCAGAGGATATGACGAAGAGTTTGTCTGCTGAGTTTGCTGTAAATAATAGGAAGTGTTGAGTCCCCAGCTGCCCGTTTAGCAAGGGCATCTGCCTTTTCATTTCCAATGTTGCCCTGGTGTGCACGAACCCAGGAAATGATGAAATTGTTGCTGGCCATGTTTATAAGATTCCTGATTTCTGTCGCTAGTGGGTGAAGATTGTTACTGTCAATGATCTGAGAGGCCGAGAGGGAATCGGTGTGAATGTGTGCACATGTTGCGGTTAGATTGTCATTGGTCCAGCTGACTGCCATTTTAATGGCAAGCAGCTCAGCTTGAAAAATTGTGCAATTATTATGAAGACAATAGCATTGGAAGAAAGATTCCTGATTATTAACGTAAACCACAAAGCTACATCCAACAGTGTTGGTGTTCTTGGAACCATCAGTATAGATATTGATGTTGGTAAGAAGGGAGTTGTTGGTGTGGATGGTATTATCATGGCCTGGGCACAGAGTATGGTGGAAAGGGTATGGTTTTTCAAGTCTGTCACAGTGAGGAATGTTAGGGTATTGAGGACTGTCAATATATTCACCACGCTGAATAAGATGAAACTTACGATGTTGAAGAATGGTTAAGTCGATAGGGGGCTTTCTGGCAATAACCTGGATACTCCTGTTGGGGGCGGTGCGGAAGGCTTTAGTGATGTTAAGTAGTGCACGACGTTGAGAGGAAATTAATTTTCTCTTTGGGTGGACGTTACGCACGGCCCAGCCCCAGGTGCCGCATGCGTAGGTGACAATGGAAAGGTATATGCAGTCATAGACTGCATTCATTGCATTAGAAGATGGACCCCACTTATTTTTAGCCACCTGAGAAAAAGCCTGGAAGATCAACCTCGTCCGGTTGGCGATATAATCTATGTGTTGATCCCAGGATAGCCGGAAATCAAGGGTGACACCCAGGTACTTGAGTGTCTTTCCTACTTTTATAGTTGTGTTATTCATTTTAATATGGGGAACACGTAGGTATAAGTTCAGTTGTCCAGACTTGTTAAAAACGATGGCCTTGGTTTTATTAGGATTGAAATGAAGCTTAAGACGGGGGCCCCAATTGAAAATGTCGTTTAGTAGGTGGTTGCCCTTAAGTTCAAGATCGGCTCTTGAGCGGCCACCCAGAAGAATCAACACGTCGTCAGCATACGCAATGACATTTGAGTTGTTGACTTTATCGAGAAAGGCATTAAATGCTATGTTCCAGAGTAGAGGCCCACAGATGGAACCTTGCGGGCATTCTCTGGTTATGTCCTTGCTGACCT